TATACATTTTTTTAAAAGTTAAAAAAAAATATTGTGATAAATAATTATTAAACATTTGATTATAAAATTATGAAAATAATCAGTTGGTCTAATTAAACTCTTTTAAATTAAAAAAAAAAAAAAAAAAAAAAAAAATAAAGAATGATAATATATACTCACATAAAATAATTAATATGAAACTGTTTCAATCCATCAACTGTACCGATTGATTAAAATTTACATAAATATCTAACACTTTTGAAAAGAATATCAACTTTTTGCAAGAACAAGGAAGAATATAAGAGGTCGTTCAGTTACATACATAGCCACATCCGCATGCCATTGGCGTTGAGCGATAAACGGCGACTTTAGTTCGGACAATGACGTTCAATCTAGCGTGACGGGATGATACGTTGCGGGTGCCCGACCACCCGCTGCTAAACTCCTCTGGTGGGCGAGTATAGGGACCGCACATCATTACCCACCGTTGTTGACACTACCTTATAAACGTCGTCATTCGAGCTCGGGGATGTGTGACGGACAGTCAACACCGTAATGCAACGTCACGGTTGGAAGCCACTCGATTAGGGTAGTACAGCATTCGGGTGCTAGCGACATCCTTTTGGAACCGGTACAACTGATCAAAGAATTTCGAGCTCGTTAATATTGATGCTCTATGACATTTCTGCTTGTTTATAAGCGTTTGAAAAATATCATCGAATAAATTTAATGAATGATAGAAATTATTTAATAATCTTTTGGTTATAAAGATCGAAATAAAAAATAAACTTTGAATTTAATCATTTATATACAAAGAGTATGCCAGATGAATAAGATATTATATAATCTAGATGCATATTTACACGTAAACATACAGAAAAGACTACAAGCGTTGATAAATCCGTATTGCCGTTAAAAATTGATAGAACGTTTTCAGAAGTGCACAGGGTCGCCGGTTAAATTACGTATGTAGTGAATGGTAAACGGAAGCCCGTATAAATAAGTATCGGTTCTGCATTGGGATCGACAACGTGTATGTGTGTGTGTGTGCGCTAGTGATTGAAGAGAAAGAGAGAAAGAGAGTAATACATATACCTTCTACATTTATATACGTATATAAACTCTCTATAAGGGAGAAGAGTGGGAGGAGGTAGTAGAGATGAGGGAGAGAAGGTAACGGAGAGAGGGTAGAGGTCGACGGGGATGAAATAATGGGGGCGGACGGCGGCCGAGTCGAAACATTGATGTTGCCCGGTGCGCTTACAAACACACCGACATCAATCGAGCATGGTCCTTCCAACACAAAACCAATCCAGACGGGTCCGTTGGCCAGGCGGTGGCGGCCGTTCGAGTTTCGAGGGATGAATAAGGGCTAGGATGACGGAGGTTTAAGAGAAGAGAGAAAGAGAGAAAAAAAGAGAAAGAGAGAAAAAAGAGAAAGAGAGAAAGAGAGAGAGAGTATAGGTAAAAGAGAAAGATGGCACATACGACTTGTGTTCAGCGTCCTTATAAATGTGCAATGCGCGTACTATGGGATAGGTAACTGGAAAGGATGAGAAAGAGAGAGAGAAAGAGAGAGAGAGAGAGAGAGAGAGAAAGAGAAAGAGAGAGAGAGAGAGTTGAAGGAAGAGAGAAAGAGAAGGTAGAACTCAGCAGGGTGGTCTCTCGTATCGATAAACGATCAATCAACCGATACACCTATGGACGAGGCCATCAAGAAGAGTAAGAGAAAGACAGAGATAGACAGAGACAGAGAAAGAGATAGAGAGATAGAGAGAGAGAAAGATAGAGATAGAGAGAGAGAGAGAGAGAGAGAGAGAGAGAGAGAGAAAGAGAAAGAGAATGGAAGAGAGTAAGAGGTGGTGGAAACGTAGGTGGAAGAGGAGAGAGTTGGTAAGAGTGAAGGTGGATGTGCTCGGTTTGTCGGAGGAGAAACAGGACGAAGATGGGGGAAGGTGGCAAAAGGAACGAGAGAACGCTACGATGGAGGGTGAAGATGGGTATGTGGGCGGAGGTATGGAAGGGGTTGCGCGGGAACAGAGAGAGAGAAAGAGAAAGATGAGGGGCGAGTGGTGGTTCCGAGGGAGGGTGCTGGCCTGCTGAGTATCGACCCGTTCTTGCCGAGGAGAAGGCAGCAGAGCCTAGGGTCGCCGTCGCTGGGTTTTGTGTCGCTATAGGTGTGCCGCGTATCCGTCCTATCGGAAGAACAGCAACGCGAAGATGCACTCCGAGATTCCTCGTGTTCAGAAGACATTGACATGGAAAAAGAGAAATCTCTAGGATCTCATTTTTTTTTTTTGCTTTTCATATTATACGTCCGTTATACGTCTAGAAACAGTTGAATCTTTTCCCAAGATAAGGTTGGTTGATGACCGAAGTATATTAAAAGAAAAAGAAAAAGAAAAAAAAAATAAAACAAAAAAGAGAAGAAAAAAGAGAAGAAAAGAATATTCGAACATTGAAACAAGTTATGTCATAGGAACACGATATACTTTCGAGAACGTTAAAAAGTTGAAAAAGTTAAAATGAAAAATATTCGTATATAGTATATAGTATTTGATGACAAAAAGAAAATTTGTTCTTTCGTCAAAGAAAGAATGTTGAAAAGGAAGGTAAAAGTCGAATTACCAAGACGACGTATTCCCTCTAGGATGCGCGTTCCGATGGATGTATCACGATGGCGTATCACTCACGCTCCGTTAATCGCGTTAACGAGCCGGATCTAGGTAGGAAGAATGCGTGACCATGGAATAAGTTCTCTTCTTGTCGATTTGTTATACACCTATTGACGGTGGTACGTACTTGCGCGCAAACTCACATATATTCTCTCCCCCTCTCTCTCTCACTCTCTCTCACTCTTTCTTTTTCTTTGTGTTTATGAGCGATCCCCTTTACATGATTCTTCCAACCCCCTTTCGGTGTTCCGTACAGCATTCAAGTGCGCATGGTGTGTAACAATAGATCGTGCGCGTGTACTTTATAAGTGGATCTGCCCATTGTGGGGTCAGGTGGCTTGCCGTTGCTCGACGGAGAGCCCGTTGGCTGACTCGGCGGGGTGTGGCCACATAACTATAGCCACAACGTGCTCTGTTCTACCCTCTCATATTATTTCTCTCTCTCTCTCCCTTTCTATACATTTCCTATCTTCGTCTCATTTCTTCATTTTCAAAGATACGATAACTCTGTTTCACTCTGAACCAAATCGACGAGTAGAATTGCCGGGCTGCTTTCTCTTTAATAACAATACGTTCTCTCTTTCTCTCTTTTCTTCTCTCTTATTCTCTTCACATTCATGGTAAAAGAGGGATAGGAGTAGGGATAGAAGCTACCAAGCAGGCGCATCGCGTCGGCCTATTACAATGGCCAGCCCTCCTAACCGTTTCATTGTCATCCTCCGTTCTCTCTCTTTCTCTCTCTCTCTCTCTCTTTCTGTATTCTCTCTGCCCATGCGTCGATGCGCGCGAACCATTGTTTCGTCGAATGGGCGGCTCTCAACGGCACACCGCCAACGCCATTCGCACCGACCAACCAGCTTGATATTTCCTTCTCAACCAATCGCTTACTTACGATCTCTACGTGCGAATGTCAAGTCTAATGGACAAATTCTAAGCTCTCCTCTTCTCTTTTTTTTCTTTTTCTTCTTCTTCTTCTTCTTCTTCTACTTCTTCTTCTACTTCTTCTTCTTCCTTAATTATTGCTAACGTCATTATTGTTGGTAGACGGGAAAGATAAGTTCGAGTTTTCGATGGACGCAACACTTATAATACTAAACGTACATAACACTCCTACCGTATCGACGAACGATGAGAAGAAGGAGGAGCTTTTTAACAGACTTGACGACGCGCAAGTACTACGTATTTATGCCTCGTCGACCGTGGCGAGTCTAAAAAGCGTGGCGAACACGGTTATCGCTCTAACAGCACAGCACCTACTACTACCTCCTGAATATGAGTCTCATGGTACCATATAGAAAAGCTGCTCGGTGATGATATTGCCAACGGTTTATATAAAGCGTCTCGTGTCTCTGTAAAATGATGGATTTGAAGGTTGGAAAAGGCTATTTGGCTCTCTCTTTTTCTTTCTTTCTTTCTTTTTTAATTTTTCTCTTTAGTACACATTGACACCGAGAAAAGACGTACTACGTTAATACTCACATTGGCTTCCGTGTAGAAGCTTCTCGCTCGAAAGAAATAAACGAGGCCCCGACTTTTACGTCCTTAATGGTTCCGAAGGGTAGATACATCATCTCCTCAGCATCACCGAGACTCCCCGCGATGACTTCGATAATGAGACTGCAATTAGAACTCTGTAAGTTACCTACGTCGATGATACAAACCTTTTCAACTTTATCTTTTCTTTTTTCTTTGTGATTTTTAATTTATTTTGCCAATGGGATCTTTCAAAAGATTATCATAGGATATCGCAAATGTTTATTCATTTTTAAGAATATAAAAAAGAAAGGAAGGATGATAAAAATGTTAACGCGTGTCGTAAAAATTAAATTATTTTGCAGTTGAAAACCAAACGAACACAAGACTCTGTCATAGATACGATTTTGTATTATGATTATTTCACTCGTATCGCATATGCGGTAGCGACTTAATATTTACGTATACTTGCTATAGATCATGTTGCATAATAATCATAAGAATAGATTATCAGAAAGATATATATCATAGATATCAGAAGAAGATATCTGTAATATCAAAACGGTAATGAAAAATATGTAGTTGAGCTATTTTTAATTATCATAAATTATCACGGATAGTATTGCTCATTCTGCTCAAAACGCTTAAAATTTTCATCAGTTGAGAATATAAACAATATTTTTCGTATCGAGTTTTAAAATAATATTAATACCATAAAATGAATATATATACAATATAAAAACATATTACATTTTTAAATTGAAATTATGGTCACGTTCATGACATATTATTAAAATTATATACGTACATACGTAAATTTAAAGTATGAAATATTAATTATAAGAACACAATAGTTATTGAAAATTACACAAATTAGTAAGTATCAAGAATCATAGTTCTTTCATATCTCTCAATAGCAATTTTCTTGATATGATCCCACAACATAGGGTAACGATGAATCGTACGAGTAAAATCGACACGATCGAGTCGATAAAGTTTGCAAATCTCAACAGCAACTACGCTGGCAACTCTATGTTCGTCCGTCATTACGAGAGCAATCTCACCAAAATAAGCACCATCCTCAAGATGGCAAACTTCTTTACCAGAAATCGTATAAACTGCGACGGTACCACTGCCAATAAAATACATGCAATTACCTCGTTCGTTCGCTCGTACGATCACATCGTTCGTCAAGAAAATTTCGGATTTCAATAGAGTTACTATATGATTTAAAAGAGCAAATGGAAGATTATCAAAAAAACTAACGTTTTCTACGAGTTTTTGACAGGAAAGCATAATAATTTCCTGACGTAATTGTAATGACAACGTATTGATTATATTAGATTCACGAAAGTAATGCTGTAGAAAACGAAATTCATAATAATTAATTATTCGACGTTGAGTTCGACGTGGAAGTTGTTTGTGTCTTATGTATTGTTTCAATTGACGAACGGCACATTGATATTTAAATTTTGAAGAGTAAGCTCCTTTCATATATTGCATCAATCTTGCTATGAGTAACGACGTAAGTAGGGTACCCATTATTTGGGCAATTATTATTACGTAGAGATCAAAAACATTTCGTCGATCATTTTTAAGGAATCCGGATCTCAAACAATTTCCTATTGTCAGCAGTAATGAAAAGAAATACTGTGTATCTGTGGGCTTATTCCAAAGATCAGCATCATCAATCCAAAAATTGGTTCTAGTATAATCTGGTTGTTTTATTGAAATAATTATTATAGGTACTAGCCAAAAGATGCAGGATAGCCAGTGAATGAAAATGATCAACCAAAAAAATATAATAATGCGGCGGTAATGAGATATTGATATTTTTTTAGTATATGCTAATTTGTCGGTATAAGCTTTAAGAGAAAAAAATCGAAAGATACAAAGTAAAGAAACTATTTTTCGAGTTACTTTGCATTCGTTCCACATATTCACAAATATCACGTCGGTTGGAAAAGAGCCAAAAAGATCGGTAAAGAATGTACCATGTTTTACGTATCGTTCTATAATTTTTTTCCGTTTCATCTCGACGATAGATCGACGTTTGTCGAAGTACCTAAACAAAAATAAATATTTTCTTGTTATTTATTTCATTTGTAGATAACCTATTTCATCGTTTTTATATAATTCATTGTAATTGTATTCACCCGGTAGATACATTAACGAACATGTCTCCGCAACAGAGAAGGAGTAGAGAATTTTTAATGAATATTGGAACGAGAGTCTCTTGAGTGATATTAAATGCCGCTTGATATGGTGTTATCAACAGGATAATTGTCATTCCCACGATGAGCAAGATATCCCAGTAATATCTGAGAAATATTTTATGTACGATTGGTTTCTTTGATAAAATTTGAACATTAAAAAATTATATTTCCTTTATTAAAAATTAATTTAAAAATAATAAGATTTATTATCCTTACCTAAAATTACTAAATGGATGAATTATGTTCTTGTAGTTTTGAAGATGTCGACGTTTTTCATTTAATAGTGCTGTTTGACTGCGCAAATATCTTTGAGCATTTGGATTTGTAAAAGAAATCATGAAGAAATTACGGCAATTATGTAACAATTTTTGCAGACGACTTATATGATAGGACGATATATTTTGTGACGAAGATGTATTTTCATAGTTAAAATACATTTTATTTCTTTATTAATTAATCCTTATTTTCTAATGTATTAAGTTATCAGAGCAATGATTGTATCAGAGCAATGATTGTATAATGCGAGAAACAAAAGAAAAGAATCGATAGAAATTAAGACGATTCGAAGTCATATGCCTTGAATATTGTTATTGTTCTAATTTTTCTCTTTTTATTAAATGTGTTGAGTTTCTTTATTCCTTTATCCTATAATATCAAATAAAACACCAAATTTAATAAAAAAAAAGTAAGAATTTATTTTACCGACTGATGATAAAACAAAAATAAGATTTATTATTACCGATTGAGTATTTTAATCCTAAACTAATTTATGGCAATAGAAGATTACCATTTTATTGACTAATCAATCGATAAATCTTTCTTATCAGTAGGTAATAGTAGATCTCTGTTTCATCGGCAAGCAATAATTGACTTTTATTTATCGAATGTGCTGTTAGCAGTAGTAGATCCATTTTTTTAATCGGTTATAGAAGATTTTTGTTTTATCGTTTGTTCGGTTGATCATATTGGGGTTCTTTTTTGTCAATTACGGGAAGTTATTGTTGATAATAATAATGTTCTATTTTTTTTTTATTTAAGACTGTTCACCACTTAATATTCGAAGTGTGCGTGACTTTAGTGACGGAAATGGACTGATATTAATAAGACAGATATTAATTACAAATACAAACGGGTAACGCTGTCCCCACCATTCCATTATCGTATCGGTATATAAGTTTGTTTATTCCTTTCTCGCGCATACATAACAATTGGTGTCATGTAATAGCTGTGAATTCACTTTCCAGTCTCTTATATGTATTTTTTTTTAATAGTAGCATGAGTCTCGCAGTGATCTGTGCTAGATACGACATCGATACGCATTTGTTTTATTATAAAAATATAAATAATAAATATAATTAACACATATGATAATTAGTATATAAATTTGCAAATTTAAAATAATTATCTTTGAATTTATTTATATTTTATTTATTTGCAGGTAGAAGAATTATTGGCAATGTAAAGTGTTAATACTTTAATGTTTAATCAGAATTAGATCGCAAAGATTTTGAAAATATATCGAAATATGCAACCATTCGTACTGCTTGCGTTAAGTGATATATAATCAGATTTCAATATCGCAAGTATTACCGATAAGTCTTACTATGTAAAATTACTGCATGTGGAGACCCGGAGGTTAACAATGACTTTACTCTAAAGTCACTTTTATTTATCGACTTTAATCTAAAATATTTACGTAAGTATTAAAATAACGGTGACTCTACGTTGAAATTCGAAGTGACATGAGCTAACTGAGAATTTTGACTTCCAACGCTATTTGACGGAAGGTCAGTCCCCGCTTACGAATAATAGGACTGTTGCAACTTCAGCAGCTACATATATTCTCGTACTAAGTAGAACTATTCGTATACACCGAATCTCGAACAATATAACGAAGTCCATTTGAATTTGCGCTTGGATATCCACGCGAGTGTTAGAAAAACGGTAACTGCTCTAAAATTCGCGTTCTTGAGATAATCTAATCGAATTTTCGAGCAAATAAAATGAAGTCCCCTATAGGATTCGTAATCGTGCTGGCGAACACCCACGCCTGTGGCCACCGACACGCGTGTGAGTATTCTACTTATCCTTCCCGTATTCTCGCATAAAAATCGATAATTAATCGAGCCATTCGACGTCAGACTCATCTGATACATCAGACTCATCTGATCATAGATGAATCTGTCATCCCTCGATGATTTCTGGAAAAGAAGACGAGAAAGAGAGGAAATATAAGATAGAAAAGAGTGCCTGAGAAAGAAAAGAAAAGAAAGACCGAATGTACGTGCACATGACAACGATCAAACGCAGAACAAGAGGTAGATATTGAATATTATTCGGACGTATTGAATATCGGGCTCTATCCAATCAAAATCGAGCTTGATTTTTCCTCATCTGAGAGTCCTCATCGAAAAATCCTTCTCAAAGTTTCCACTTGAGAGCTCTACACGATATTGAAACAGCAGCCCGCACAAATGCCCATGAACTCAATCCATGGATCACATCATAATTCTATTCGACAGTTTTCATTCAAAAGTAATGACTCTATCGAGACTTTTCTTTTATCAACATAATTGATTAAATATTTAATTAATTTTTATTTGAAAATATCAATGAAAAATCCTTGGACGTTTCTTCTTATAAGCGATTATTCTATTCGTTAGAAAAATAATCATACAGTTCCGCTTGTAATTCAGAAACTATCCATATCACCTTGGTCATTCTTTATTAGAACTCATTAATATTGATTCTTTATTATTTCTACGCGAGAAAAATTTTTGATAATATATTAAAATATTACAAATTTCAAATAATTATAATTAATAGATTTGAACAAGAACACCCTATCCTGATGTAATAAATAAATCAAAAAATCAAGAAACTATTGACGAGTAAATCTCCGAAGAAATTTACTCGTCGCTTAATGCTGTTCTACTAATTAATTATAACCAATCACTCTTGTCGATTTGGATCTTTAGTCCTTAACATGATTGAATGATCGGAGGGACTTAAAAATTCACTTATTATTTAGGAATATAAGAAATTTACTTACTTTTTTAGAGCAATCTGCAATGGCTCTAAAACACTCATCTGCGATTTAGATCGAAATTGAGGATAATTGAAAATAAGGTAAATCGACATCCTCTTCAATGATGCACTGACTCTAATTTATGATAATTATTTTTTAACAAACAATCACTGAAGTTAATTCAGTGAATCTATTGTCTTTTATAAATACATTCTGTGCGATTGTTAAAAAAGCAAAAAACTTTGTAAACCAAGACTGACTCTAATGATTGCATTGTAAGCAGTTGATGCAAGTTCACTTGTTATTTAAATCGCAAAACGCGAACGAACAAACATTGCTTCTACTTTGCGATATTTTTATTTTAGCGATGCAAACATTCGATTACTCCATTGCTATGCACACGATTGCAATGAAGTTCTCAAACAGAAAAAAACAAATAAAATAATTAGTATCATTATTATAATAAGAAACTACTATAAATTATTCAAGAAATATATGATATAAAAATATACTTACTTTAAGTCTTTATTGTTACTTGCAGGAAAGACACTTTGAGAGAGCTTTGATGATTACTCATGAGAATCCAAAAGAAGACTGATCTAATAATAGTCAAAGTCGATCAAAATTTTGATTTTTTTGACTTAATCAACAAACGCCAGTTCAACATTTAAGTCTAATGCAAAAGAAATTAAAATTATTGTAAGTTTCTGCCGCGTTTCCGTTTTTCTAATCTTTTTAAACGAATATACTATTGTTTAAATATTAGTTTATTGTACGTCGTGTACATTAAAGATTGTTTAAATAATTGAAAAATTATCGAAAGCATTAATTTATACAAAGATTAATTTATACAAAAGTTTAAAAAAAGAGAGTTTTTATGTTCACATGTCGGAATTCAAAAGAAAACTAACTCGTTATTTGTCAAAGTTAATTAAAAGACCGAATGTTTATATTACACAAAGTCAACTGTGATTATTTTAATTTCCCCGGAGATTAAATTTTTACAGTATTGGAATTTTTTATTAAAATTATTTAAGTTTCTTAGGCGTAACAAACTTTATGACATAGTACATAAATTTCTTTATTTTTACGAATTTCTTTATTTCTTTATTTCTTTATTTTTATTTCCTTTTTTTAGAATCATCTGTTCAAAAAATAACTGAGTAAGTTACCGTAGATTCTTCGTGCGAGCATCGTGAAACGTATTTCTTTGCATTTGAAATGATTCAGGAAATCTGAGCATCTGTTATTTATGTACACGACAAACAGATAAACGCTACTTCAAGAACAAACATGCCCCATTCTAATGTGACATAGAATAGTAATGTAGTAGAAGGTTATGAGCTTCTTCTCTTTTGCCGCAAATTTCGAGAGGCGCCACAGTACAGAACTTTCTACACGAAAAATGTCGAAAACAACATTTACGCCAATAATAAGAAAAAGTATAATTCTTTACTGATTTTAATGAACAATATCTCGTTTTAAAGACGAAGATTTTTTCTACGATATATATTTTTCAAATTTTTAAAAAAGCTTTTTATTTGTGCATAAATTATAATTGAAAAATATTATTCTTTAATACGACGTTTTCGAAGAAAATGAAGCTTTTTCAAAAATTCAAAAAAGATATATCCTAGATTAAAGCTTCATTTATAAAATAAAATCTTTTTCATCAAAATCGGTCAAGAATTATGTCTTTTCTCATTGATGGTGTAAATCATTATAAAATCAGGGATAGTGAACAGCTTTAATAGAAATAATTAGAATTAAATTGTTATAATTGTCAAAAAATTGAAAGACTTGTTGGCTTCTATGCGATGGTATGAAATATTGATATTTAAGCGAATCTAAATAATTATTTTATATACAAAATGTAAAACGATGATTTCATCGTTTTAAACTCGATAATTTACTTCCTACTGAAAATATTATCAATTTGATAAGTTAGAATTACTTGCAAAAAATTTTGATAATAAAAAATTTACTGCAATATTATTATTATTTAATTATTAGTGTTGCTGTAGAAGTTGTAGAGTTAATGAATTTCAAACATTTATTTTTAGAAATTCGTAATCATTTGTACTTCAACGTGTCTTTGGAAGCACAATTTATTAATGAATCAAATAAATGAACTGCTTTCATAGAATATCAATTGTAAGCCTTCATTCATCTTATCATGATATGATTATTAATATCCAGCTATGAATATCATTAGCTTTGTCAATGGATAATTTCTTCCTGTTTTATCATAAGCATTTATCATCGTAGTTCATCCGCTTTATCTTCTGTAAGTATTCAGTTATCTATTTTATCGACTCAATATTATATAAGATAAAAAAATCCAAACGTTATCTTAATTTGTCAATGGAATAGGAAGTTAAACTTTATCCTTAAAAAGGAAATATCATAATTTGAATATGTCGATAATCATAGAAATAAATATATAACATGTTGAAATTTTTAACGTCGGTAAATACATTCTTTTAATTGATAGTTTCTGGGAGGGCAGCACTTTATATCTTTCAATTTTATTACATATTGCGGACGAGTACTTAAAATATTTAAAAATCATATACTTAATCGAATTTATTTATTGTTATATTAATACTTTCGATTTATATATTCTTAAATATTTATAATAATTAACTCAAATTAATGTCGACAAAACTCTTATTAATAATATTTTGCAATTATAGCTAATTATTATTTATCATTTACAATTATTAATAATAAAATATGAAAAATGATAAACATTATGTTCCTTTAAAAATTTTACATTTAGCCTATCGTGTTTAGACTCTTTTACATTTTGTATTCTACATATAAGCAAATGCTAAGCAAATTAGCGCTCCCAAAGCCACGCTTGCCTTTTGACGCTTTAAATTTCGGATCTTATCTCACGAGTAAGTATTTTAAACTGCGTAACAAGCGCCGAGTTTCTAAAACGTTCTCGTTGCTTCTTGCACCTTTGGGTTAATATGGTTTATCCGTTTAGTGAAATATCAAAGTAAAGATTACAGAATACATAACATAACTTATAATGAATATTACGTGTTTATTTTTGTTTTGTCTCATGGTTTGCACATTTTTATAAAAATATTTTCTAATTTGAATACTAAATTTATATTTTATAATCCTTTGAAATCTGATTCGTAATAAATTCTTTAAATCTGAATCGAAACAAATATCGGTAACATGAATAAAATATTTAGTTTTTAGTACTCGATATACAGTTGTCCGATTTTGTCGATTCACTCGAGGCAATACTGTATGATTTATCTGAACCATTTAATTAACATGAAACATACAAATATTCTTATTAAAAAGCAATACATAGTAATTTATATTTTAACATAAAATTATACATTCGTTACAGTATGCTGAGTTCCTCGATTTTATACCGATCATTTATTAATCGTTTATATTCTCAACTTTTTATTTCTTTCTTTTACATTATAAAAATCCAATTTTTAAATAATTTATTATTAAAATATTCAGCATAGATTTTCGATTGTTTCCGAATCGTCGTAAGATTTTCGTGAAAAGTGTACACATTTTTAAAAGAATCTATTTGCTAAACGGTACGGACAATTTAAAGTCGTCCATTTTTATTTGTCCCTAGGGAGTTAGGGTCGCGGTTTTCAAGGCTAGTATATCGCTAAGATGTCGACTTATCCGTAACTTTCTCCGTCCTTCGTTATACGTTCCCTTTTTGTGTCTTTTTCTTCTCCTTATATCCTGGTAATAAATTTTCAAGTCGTCCGCCAGTGTCCTGAAACTCTGGAACGATGTTATGGACGATGCTCGAGAACAAGAAGGGTGGTTATTCGGGCTACCTTCGCAAGTCTCCGCACATACTAAGGTGGATTTACCGTAGCCCATCCTCGGTCTAACGACATACAGCTGCTATAGACTATTCTATATTTAGTGTGTATTTGTATGTGTATATGTATGTATATATGTATGTTGGCGGATTGAAATGGCATATAGTGATCTAAGGATCACCGTTTGATCTCTCTCTCTCTCTCTCTCTCTCTCTCTCTCTCTATCTCTCTCTCTCTTTTTCTTTCATCAGATTTTCTTTTTAACACGTTGACGCTGTAATTTGTATTTTACTGCATCGAATGGTTCTTTGTAAAGATCAGCCACCATTATGTTTGAATTGTTTTAAAAAAACTATATGAGC